TTTATGAATAATTGAATAATGTCAATTCATTCTCCTGATAAATCCAACTGGGTTACAAAATAACCCAGAGTACGTAATCTGTAGAGCATATTATGTTCAGGGCAGTAAATCTTTAGGTCACTGATGGTGGAATAAAAGAAAATCAGCTGCTTGTTTTCTCGTTCTCTGAGATTCATTCTGTCTGGATCTTTTTATCCACCTCAGTTCTGGAAGGAGTGCATTTCACAGATCTATAGAGCTGTGGTGGCACCAGCTGATTCTGCTGTGAGGGGTGAAAGCGGGCTCCCAGCTCCTTCTTAGTTTTTAATAATGAGTAAAAACAGGAGCTGTGTTGGTTTCACAAGTGGAAAGTGACAACGATTCCTCACACTTTGGCCTCTGGGATTTATCCTCACTGCTACCTGATGCACTTACCTCTATACTGGTATCCCTGGTAACACGCTGTACTAAAAGATAACTTCTCTCACCTCTTAATGCAGATGCATCATGGACACATGTAGAACAATTCAAGCTTTAACTGTATCTAAGTAAACAAGCGGATGCGAAGTTAAAGGTTGTCCTCATGACGGTGCTTTGTAGAAGTCCATTATGTTAAAAAGAGTGCTTGTCTTCTATAATATTTCACAGGGTTGGAGCATACAGAGAAACTTGCAATATAACGAATGACCACCAGGTGTCAGCAGATCACCCAAAACACAGCTACCCAAACAAGCACATTTGTGACGCATCAGAGCAAATAAAGCACACCGTTTAGAAGAAGTTGAAGATATTATTTTTATTTTTGCATAATTATCTGGCCATGCAGCTCATAAAGCAGTTCCTCTTCAAAGCAGAACCACACAGATTTCCATCAGAGCTCACATCCCACTGCTGGTTTACTGCGAGCTCGTCACTGACGTGCGCTTCCGCTAGGCTGGCTGCTCCACTGCTGCTGCTCACAATGTCAAGCATCATAAAAATAATCATTTTACAGGAAAAACAACAATAACAGATGGACGTTTTTATCCAAACCCTGACGGCATCTTTGCAAAACATGTGGAAATCGACTGGTTTAGGTTTTTTTTTTTTGTAAAGAATCTATGTGAGACAAACTGATCATATTCAGATACAAAAACAGTCATAGAGGCCAATGATTTAACAAACAGCCATCAAGCCCAGGTTTTATACAAACAGCTAAACAAAGACAATCTGCTGAAACAAAAGCCACATTTTACTCACTGCTCTGATTCGTCGCTGTAATCTGATGGAACGTTAGCTTCTAAATTAAAAAAAAAGGATTTTTTTTTTTATTAAATCTGTGTGCGTCTCTATATTCGGTCCAACTTCTCGCTCAGAAACTCTTCAACGCTGTCTGTGTTCCACTTGGTGATGCTGAGCTCCTCAGCCATGTTCCCGTTATCGTCCAGGAGCTTCAGGATAGGATCGGAGCCTCTGACGTACTGCCGATCCAAACGGGAGAGAAGGGAGAAAATGTTTTTAGGAAAATAAGCAGGAATCTGGCAGAGAGGCTCAAGATTTTAAATAAAAAGCAGAATCCATTAGGAAGGCGATTTATGGTCCATTACTGCAACGAGCAAAGATGATGTTTGTGTAGCTGAGAGTAATTTAGCTATTTTTTTTGTCAGATTTTGTTTCTTTTAGATTTTTCATAAATTTTTTATTTTAATTTTTTATTCCCCCAATCTCGTTTAAAATTAACTTTTAACACATTTCCAAACAGATTGTTTTAAAATTCAAGTTTTTTTCTGATTGTATTTTACAGTGAAAAGAAGGTGATTTGTAGAAAATCTAGTAAAGAAAATGAAATTTTTAAAACTTAATCTGAAAAACAAAAACTTGGAAAACATAAAAGAATCAATAATATAAATAAAATAAAAAAAATAATAATTTGAAATAAAATGAGAAAAATATGGAAGCCCGTTTCTGCCACTCTGTAAAAAAAAAAAAAAAATCTCATTATAATGAAATAGTAACATATTTTAACTCAATACAGTGAGATAGTATCTCATTATATTGAGATTATTTTTTAATTTTTTTTATTTTATAATTTGTATTTTTTTACAGAGTGGCGGAAACGGGCTTCCATAAAAAAAGAGCAAAGTTGCACTTAAAACATTTTGCAAATCTGGATTTCCCCCCCCCCCATTTACTCAACATCTTTGCTGCAACAACAGTAAAGGGAAAAGTTAGTAGATAATTCATCGGCTACCTTGATCTGAAGACCTTTGAACATCTTCGGCTTCTCGCTCCTCACAAAAGCTGAGCAGGAACAGAAGAACAGGTGAGTTCATGGAAACAGCTGAAGGAACAAA